AATTTGTTTTTTCTCTTCTCCTCCTTATCTTTTTTTTTTCTCAATCCAGAAAATTTAATTTCAGATATTAAGTTTTTTTTTGTGAAATTCAAATTCATGGTTTTAATCTAATTTTGAGAGATAAAGATGAGATTTAGTTAAAAAAAAAAAGAATAACGAAATATGAGAAAAAAGTTTTGTGATTTGGAAAAAAAAAATTGAGATCTAAAAAAGTAATGGACAAAAATAAAACGGAAATCTGGAAAAAAAAACGGTCAGGAAAAAAAAAATTGAAAAAGTCAAATTAAATGAGTCAAAGGACAATATGAGAATACTGAAAAAGAAAAGTGGCATACTTGCAAATATATAAAATTTTGAATGAAATCTTATATTTAACTTTTTAAAGAAATTTCAAAAAATGCCACTTTTCAAGTGTCACTTTACAAAAATACCACACTTTTGAAATCTTTACAAAAATGCCACTTTTTCAAAATTATTTTTTCTTTATATTATTTATATTTGGGTTAATTATGTTCTATTAGGATTTAATTTTGAGTGTTTATGGAATTTTAGGTGTCAAAACATTTTTTAGGGTTTCCAATTTTAAGATACAGGCTTTATAAATCTATAATTAGTGGTATTTTTGTAAATAGACACTTTTAAGTGGTATTCTTGTAAATGTGCACACAAAAAGTGGCATTTTTGTAGTTGCTTCATTTTTTATTCATCGCTCTTATATATAAACTCATAATATTTTTATTACTTTATAATGAACTACAATATAGATGAAATATGTTCATTATTGTAATTTTTATTTAGAAAATTTTTATTTAGAAAATAAAATACTCAAATAATTTTAAAATATGGTTCGCGTGATACATGAGTTTTACATTTTTATTAAACTTAAAGACAAAAAAATGATTTAACCATTTACAATTTTATTCTACTTTTAATCATTCATTTACTTATTTTTAGTAGAATATAACCCGCGCGATGAGCGATTTTTAACCATGAGTTTTTAAAATTTCTCTTTAAATAATGGTATCTTTTAAATGTTTCTTTCATACTTCCATAAAATTTAAGTATATTATTATGAACAAAATTGTATGTTCTAAATTTCATCTTCAATGAGATATTTCAATATCCTTTTAGTAAAATAATATATATTATTTCTATCAACAATCTCTTAACAATCGTTTGACACTCATATTCACTTTAAATATTTTTAATTTTTGCAATTGAATATATAAAATTTTTATCGTTATCATAAACTCATTATAAAATATATTTATTGTTATTTGACAACAATAAAATACTCAAATAATTTTATATATTTACGAAAAAAAA